AGCTGGTGATGTTCTTGGCTCTGCTCTAAGATGTGTCAGACCCAGGTGCAGTCAGGTAAGAGACTGAAATTGCCAGCTGAGCAGCTGGTCTGTATTTCCCTTATCTTGACAAAAATGAGTTGCACAATGTACTACATTTCACATGAAAAGGACCTAGAAATGTTGACTTCAGAGTGACTCTAAATATAATTTCAGCTAGTCACAACAGTTATTGTACCAAATATGTGTATATTCTTGAAATACTTTTGCTACAGACATTATACAACTGCATGTGTCATGATTCTTACCTATCAGTCACCTGCAATGGAAAGAACCTCCCTAGAACCTGTTCTCACTGGTTTTCCGATGAGAATAAATGTAATTAGTTTAATAGAGGTCAGAGAAGTTAATTTTTCATGGTTTCAGAGAAATTTTTCTGACAAAAGTAACCCATGCCAGGTGTTAAGTGTAACAGGCCCCACTTTTCTGCACATTTCCAACTCCTTCTTTGAACCACAGGGGGCCTCACATACGTGCTTATGGACACTCCAGACTGCAAGTCCAAGCTCTGCTCATATGCTGCAAACAGCTGCCCCTGGGCTTAGGAGTGAATACGCAAGTGGCAAAATCTCTATTAGGAGGAAGGATGAGCCCATGCTGTTCCCATTTAGTCAGGGAACTGCAATGTCCTGTGTGTGGTATGGGGTGGGGGTGGAGGTCTCAAGGAACATGTTTCCTTGGCACCCTGGGTTGTATGCTCCATAAAGGGAGACGAGGCTGGAGCAGGGCCAGGGTAGGCTTCTCTAAAGCATGAGACCCAGGACAGGGGCCCCTTTTGCCTAGGATTAAGGCAAACACTGTTGCCATCCACATCTTAATAATACAACAATTAAAGAAATAGCTATGATACCCTGTATAGGTACATGTGCATGCAAGACACTATATTGAGCAGCAAGAATCCAATACCCCATAAAGACACCTGAATGTCATGCTGGAAGCAGCCTGGCAAAGTTAGGCATCCAAAGGATATTTAACTCTTTGATGAGTCCTCAATTTATCAGATGAGGACAAAATAAGTCATTTGGTACAATGTTACATACCACCTACAGCTATAACTATAGTCTAGGCCACTGTCCTAAATTAATTTCTACCAAAGGCCAACATATGAAGTATATTCTACTCATGAAACTTGTTTTTCAGAACAAGAAACTCATTTTCACTTGAAAAATAAAATAATAAAGATGAGAATATAAGGATTTATACCTTAAGATGCCTGGAAAGCTTACCTGTCTAGAACAACTAATTTCTCAATTAATCCAAAAGATGCCGTGTCTTGAATATTGGCATAGAGCACAGTGGCTCAGGAACTAAGGAGTAGGAGTTGAGGATCTACCAGGTGATCATGAACTTAAAAATGAAAATAAATACTGCTAACTACTTCCTCAAAGTTCCTATGTAAGAACTTTTTGAAGTTTTCAGAAAGAAGCTAAGAATATAAACTTTTATAATTGTTCAAACAGAAATATCATTTATTATGTAAATACATATATATTAACATAGATAGTAAAAGTTGTCTAGTAATTTACCCATTCTTTCATTTAGAGGATGTTAATTATTTTAGAAGAATATAACTCCTTCTTCTAAAACTTGCTTTAATACCAAAACACAAGGGGTTAAAGAAAGTCTTCGAATAGGTAGTAGAATTACAATAATGCCACATTCCTCTATCTCTACAGTTTTCTGTTCAGGACAAGGAGTTCAATTCATACACATCATTTGTTCATGAGGTAGCAGAAAGGATTATGGTAAAAACAATACACAGACTATGAACTTGGGTTTGCATCAACTTTTCACTCCTAAGTTGAGACTGAGCTACAGCACTGTATCAATAGCTTTCATGATTTTTGAAAGACCTATTATGAAAGGGCATTAATACTTATTAATACCTTTCATGATTTTGAAAATGGACTCAGCCATTTTAAAGTATATGTTCCAGTAAGTCCTTCAGCTGAGCATTACCAGCTATGAGAAATATTGAAACACATCAAATGAGACCATTAAATGTATAACATAACTCCTTCCCTATGCTTATTACAACTGCTTATATCTGCAAGTCAGCATTTATCAATTTATTCACTGAAAAGTATTTTCTGAGTGCCTATCAAAATAAACAAGGCACTGTGTGTTAGGGCTGAATAAGATGAGCATCTGCCTTCGAGGAACTTATAGCTTGATAAATAAAATCCCCAAATAACTAAAAACAAGATAGAAAACAGTATTATGGACCAGGCACAGTGGCTCATGCTTATAATCCTAGCACTTTGGGAGGCCAAGGTGGAACAGATCACTTGAATTCAGGAGTTCAAAACCAGCCTGGCCAAACGTAGTGAAACCCCATCTCTACTAAAAATATAAAAATTAGCCCAGGGTGTTCTGTAATCACAGCTACTTGGGAGGCTGAGATACAAGAATCGCTTGAACCCGGTGGGCAGAGGTTGCAGTGAGCCAAGATAGACAGGGTCACTGACTCCAGCCTGGGCAACAATGTGAAACTCCATCTCAAAACAAAAACAAAAACAAAATATTACTCTGGAAAGACTGAGAGAGTACAGAGGAATTAATTTTTGCAAGGGATACTAGAAAGGGTACCCCTGGAGTCAGGTTTTGAAAGATAAGTAAAATACTAGCCTTTCTCATAGTTTCAAGATGTCAGTTTCGAATCAGTTAACTTGTAATTCCTTTAACATTCCAAAAATTAAGTTGATTCTCAGTTCCTGTATGACATAACCCACTAAAAAATGTGTATTTCCAGGAAGGGGAGTGTAGTCTTTTTTTCTTCAAGAGACACTAAAAATAAGTAACAGTTCACCCTGAAAAATTATGATTCCAAGTTTTTATATGTCACCATGTGTATATAAATCAATGCATTACTATATTAGATGGATATTTTCTTTAAGTAGAAAAATACAAAAGAGTAGGGACATTTAAAAATGTAGTACCCTGTAACAACATATCCTTTATTATTGCCATTTAAATTCCAACTGTCGCTCTTTCAAATAAATTCTGAATTTGTTCTATTCTAGTGTCCTCAGTTGCTAACATGTCTTACTTACGTCATTATAGGAAATACGAAGCATGCAGTAAAAAACTAGGTACTGAAAAACTGTGTATTTATGACTGCCTTTCTCCCTTTCCTCTATGTCTACATTTTCCTGTTTGAACATATCAACTTTCAGCAAGAATGGAATGTTAATTGAGGTTACGCACAAGCTGGGCTATTGTTCCTCAAATTTAATAAGCAAGAAAAATAAAATAAAATCAAAACACAAACCAACTGGGTTTCCTGTTTTTATGTATGGTTTTTAGTGCCCTTTTGGAGGGATTAAAACAAAAGTGTCCATCTCAGTTACAGCTCATCCTTCCCTCAATTAATGTACCCAAGGAGAGGAGTTCCTTCCATCTACTTCCCTGATGACTCTCCGGATCACAAAACCTATTCAAGCTGCTCCCCAGGGCCCCAAAACAACATGCGCAACAACTTCCTAGGGAAACCCAAAGCCTACCTCACCCTTCCCACTGGGGAAATACACATAGAGTCAGCCCTTTCTGGTGTGATTATATAAGAATACAAAGGCTTGCTTGACCCTGCCCAAAGCTGAGACCTATCTTTAAAACATCATCTCGTGCCATCTCTTCTCTAAAGCAATGGTGTATGCTGGGCAAAGAGGAAGCGTGTAGGATTTACCTTCTAACAATGGCAACATTTTCCAAGGAGCCTCTGCACTAAAAGTTCTGATGCCCCAGGAAAAGTTTGTAATGTTTGGAAAGTAATTGGTTTTACATGTCCGGGTGGTAGCACCCCTATTTTGATTGGGGGCAGGAGGTGGGGGACACTTTAATAAATTGGATTTTTTTCCTAAGGCAAGTTATCTGTCTCAGAGAATTTCTAACTCCTCTCTTGAATTTCTACTTATCAGCTGAAGTATTACTGAAATTTGGGGAAACGATTTTTTTGCTGAACAGAATGATCAAAGATGCTGCCAATCATTTCTTAACAACAGGGCCGTGCTGTTGCTGATGTGAGAACCACTCTGAGGCTAAAGATGAACAATATGGCTTCTTTTTATTTTTTATTTCTTTGAATATACGAAGACATTTTCTTTTTCTAAAATTCTTTTTCTTAAGGACTAATTTACTGTATATAATTTATTCAATTTACTGTATATAAGGTGTGAATTTACCATATGCAAAATAGGTCTTTCAAAGAGAAGGGTGTTAACATCTATTTCCAGGCTGCTCTGTTTGTATTTGAGGTGCAGAATTTCACAAAAATCCATCTGAGAAATAATAAACTATATGGAGAAATAGAAGTTAAGCAATGTCAATAGAGATTACGGTTTTGCACCTGAATGGCACAAAGAAACAGGATATCATAATTGTCATTTTTTGCCAAAACAGGGCCGTTGGGTTTGCTGTTTCTATTGAGGCTTATATGAGCCTTCACCTGGCATGGTGGTGTTAAACATTCATGCATTATCCAAGTTCACTGTGAATTTGATTTCTTCTTTAGAGCTGGCACCACAGCTTCAGAGGAGTGATTTAACACACCTGTGTAGGCACTCTGTTTCTCAAACCAGGATGCTGCAGACAGGTCAACATTGCTCATACTCCTTCTTCCCTGACCTTGAGCTGTGTGTTCCCTAGGCATTGTGCATACAGCTCTGAAAACAGTGATTATGGCAGAAAGCAATTGGAAACTTGTAACTGATTCCTGTCCAGTGGCTAAGATGCAACAGGCTATTTCTGCAATGGGTCCTGATCACAATTAGCCCAGCCTGGATATGACTGTAGCTGTAGGCAGAATGCTTTTTGCCTACCCACTGGCATATAAAAAAGGGCAAAGACATTCTATCCACCAACTAGCCATGGGCAGTAGTAACATTAGGGACACGGAAGGGGGACAGACTGTCATTCAAAAGAGGAAAAGTGAGTTTAATAAAGGACAACACTCTCCCACTTACCACTGAAGTTAGAGCCATCTGGAAACTGTAGATGCGGGCAAGGCCGAAGTCAGCGAGTTTTATTTGTCCGTTGCTGGTCACCAGAATGTTTTGTGGTTTTAGATCACGATGCACTACTCGGTGTGAATGAAGAAAGTCCAGACCTCGGAGAAGCTGAAACATCATATCCTAATAAAATAAAAAAAAAAGAGAGAAAATCAATAAACGCTCAAAACAGAAGTTCAGCCTCAGCATTTTGTGGCTGCTTGGCATGCAGCAGGCATTTGATAAGGATGGCTGATGGAGTGAATCTGTCTCCCTTCCTGCCTTTCCACTCACACACTTTCAACAACACTGCAAAAAATTTCACTCTCAACCTGTATTTTATTAATGAAAGGGCAATTTTAAAATATTTTTGATGGGACAGGAAACGTTCTAGAAGGTTATCTGTCAAAGTGGTCTCAGTGGCTCATGCCGGGGAGAGGAAAGAAGAGGTCGTGATGGGACACTTTTTGCTTCTATACTGTTTAATGTGTCATTTCAACAATTAAAATCCAGTGTATAACAATATTGTTATTAATGGTGATTATTATTTTATGGCACCTAATACTAAACACTCACTGTATATTAAGCACTATGCTAAGCATTGTCCACTTTTAGGCAGGTTCTTGCTGGGTTACCCAGGCTGTAGTGCAGGGGTGTGATCATGGCTCACTGTAGCCTTGACTTCCTGGGCTCAAGAGACCCTCCTGCCTCAGCCTTCCAAGTAGCTGGGACCACAGAAGCACACAACCATGCTAGGCTGGTTTAGTTTTTGTAGAGACAGGGTCTCACTATGTTGACCACGGTGGTCTCAGACTCCTGGGCTCAAGCTATTCTCCTGCCTCAGCCTCCCAAAGTGCCGGGTGTGAGCCACCATGCCCAGTCGTAATCAACTCTTTTAGAGTATTAACAGTCTTGATTTAAACTAGAGTCTGGAAAACCTCAATTCAAATCTCCAATATATTCATTTATCAAATCAATGAAAAAACGGGTATGTAAAATAAGGCAAGCCATTTCACCTCTCTAAGCCTTAGTTTCCCTCTCTGTAAAATGGGAAAGTAACAAAACCCACTTTATCATAGCATCATTGCAAAGCACTTAGCACCACAGTTAATATTCAGTAAATGGCAGCTCTTATTACTGTTATTATTAACCAGCATGGAAGAGGGGAGCATTCAGAATATAGACCAGTATCAGATCTTTTTCGAATTTTAGGATCAATATAAATATGTACAAGATTGAACACTCAGGAACAGTGTCGGAAAGTAGGAACTAAGACATTGGGCATGATGTCATGATTCTCTGAAATTTGTGATAATTAAGAGGGACCTACTCCCCCCAAAGGAGGATGGAGCCGTTTTATTAATACAAGGGTTAGAAAAATGACTGGGCACCCTCATGGATTTCGGAGCTGAAAGGGGCTATGCGGATATACTTATCATCGGCCGGATCACTGACTCCTCTGAGAACAGTATATCTGGTTACTGGTTTATGGTTTTGGTTACTGGTTTACGGTTTTGGTTACTGGTTTACGGTTTTGGTTCTTCCTTTAGAGTTGGGAGTTCTGTCTTTATATCCTAGCTTGTTTAAAACTAAAGCCTTAGTTTTTCCTTTCATTAGGGGGAGAAAGTAGCAATTACTTTTCCCACTACTAGGGGGTAAATGAAGTAACGTATGCCAAGTGCTGGTGCAGTTCCTGGCATATGGTAAGCATCTGACAAACAGTAATTATTAGGATGATTATTGCCAAGATAAGTGTCCTGATTTCTGGGGGAGACAGATTCACAAACAACTAAAGGAAAACATGACCACTGCTACAAGATCGATGTGAACAAAGCACTCGAGGGGGCACGCAGTGACCTAGAATCATTTTTGAGATCTCCCTAAGTGAATATTCTAAACTGGCAGGGGTTACCTTCTAAGCTTCCCAAAACTCTAGAGAAGACTGCACTGGGGAGGGAAAGCCCTTCAAGACCTGAGAAACACTGCAGGTCCAATAAGTTGCAATGAATAAACAGGAGTGTGAAAATGTAGCACAAAATGTTCAAGAAGTCCTCTCTGCTGCGGCAAATAAGTCTTTATTGGAAACACATGCACACAACTTGTAAGCACTGAATTTTAAAAAGCATAACTAACTTAAAGTAATGTCATGTTGGCTCGTCATGTTTAGCTTCTATACAGTTAAGTGTCACTCATTTAAAACAGTTCAAAGAATAAATCTGGGTCATGCTGCAGTGTTCAGACAATTTTAGCAGCCAGTTAGCAGAATAAAAATTTAAAAACATGTCTATTGCTTTTATTTGTGTTATAGCACATATTATGTGTTCTTAATTAAAAAAATTGATAAGATGTATAGATGCATGTTTAATGCAGAAAATAATGTTTAAAAAAATCCAGAGAAGAAGAAAAATCACTCAAAAATTCCACCATTTGGAGAACGGAGAAAACTTCACTGTTAATAACACTTTTTTTGTGTATCTTTCTAGTCTGTCTTTTAAAAATTACATATTTAATTATATTTGTATGTATATTTAAGTAAAAATGGTTATAGTTCTGTACACATTATTTTGTGGCTCTTTTAAAAACATGTAACAATTCATCATCAACATTTTGCCACTTTAATAAAATTCTGCAATGTGACTTTTTTATACAATGAGATTTTTAATGGCTGCATGGTTTTTCTCCTTGGGATATGCCATAATTATTATTATTCAGTTTTAGTTGTTTTACTGTGGCATTTATACTACAGGCCTAGTTCTCCTTTGTTTAAAGGTAGAGTAGATTAAAAGGGCTTGTTAATATCATACCAAAGCATGGGTTAGGCAGTATGAATCTACATGACTGCACTAACATTGATTCCATGTGCACAATGCCTATAGATGTAGGTTGATTCTATATAAGAATTACCAGTTCTTTAGATTTTATTAGGCTACTTAAAATTTTTATTTGGTTAGCAAATGAGTTTTCTTTTAAATCTCCAATACCTAGATACAATTGGAATTCTGAACCAATAAACACTGAGTTAATGACTTAAAAAACAAAATCTTGCCAAACATCTCATGACCTTCAGTAATTCAACCGTGAGTTAGGCTGTTGGGCGTTATGAGCCTGTTAGCACAATTGGTGAACCCCTCTCAGTCTTCAGCCATCCATTACTGCAATACCTAATTTCAAAGGTGAAATACATTTAGCTATGCCAGGAACTCTGGTCCCAAATAATCATAAGATATGGTCCCAATTCCAGAGGATGATATAAGTAAACACATTACAACATTAAATGAGGTAAGAAAAAACCCCTTTCCTACAGAATCACAAGAAGTGTTTTGATCAAAGACATTTCAAAGGATTCTCTACTTAAGCTTATTATCCGTTCGATCTCAATTTATAGTATTATGAGACATACTCTTAAATTAGCTTCTGAAGATTTTAATCTAAAGTATTCTGTCCCATATATGACTCAAATATTTCATAGTAACCCTAGTGATGCAATGCAATGAAATTACAGACACTACCAATTAAGGTTCTTTCAGTTAAACGCAGGTTTAAAAGTTCCCCTTTTTATGTTATACGGCACAGTTCTGGTATAAAAGGCTTGGACGTGTAGTCATACTTATGATAAACCGTCACTTGGGACCCTCATTCTATCTTTTTAAAACATGTGACTTGCAAACATGTTTCCACAGGACACCAATGTGGAATGAAGTCTGCTCCGAGAGATCTTAGGTGGGGCTTTCTGTTGGCAGTGCCCCTAAAAAGATCTCTGGACCTTTCTGAACACAAGAAATCCCTGCAGTCTCGTAACTATTTCCCTTAGGTGTTCTAGAGCTCTAATCCTCTTACTTAAAATTAAGACCAACAAGCAAACTAAAAAAACTACTTTGGGCTTTTCTAAAGGGAAAAGATTTATCATGGGGCCTCATTTTTTTTCTTTTCTTTTTAGAGACAGGGTCTTACTCTGCCACCCAGGCTGGAGTGCAATGGTGTCATCATAGCTCACAGCAACCTCGAATTCCTGTGTTCAAACAATACTTCTGAGTAGTTGGAACCACAGGTATGTGTTACCCTGCCTGGCTACTTTTAAATTTTTGTAGAGATAGGGCTCTTGCTAAGTTGCCCAGGCTAGTCCTGAATTCCTAGCCTGAAGCCATCAATCCTTCTGCCTTGGCCTCCCAAAGTGCTGTAATTACAGGTGTGAGCCACTGCATCTGGCCTGGGCCTTATTTTCTTATTACAAAAAAGTATGATTAGTTCCAAAAGACACTAAAAACACCTAAGTCATATCATATAATAAGTCACAGAATGACAATTTTAAATAGACAGTTCTGGATGTAGAGACATATCTAGTACGATACATCCTCAAAGTTTTAGCACCAAAAATGTACATTGATAATTTATTTATTTAAATATTAAAAACAGGACATATCCAGCTTGTAGGCAAAGATAATCTTTTTTTCTCCTTATACTTAGTAAACCAAAGTCTTCTGTTATTCAAGTTTTCACAGAAATCTCTCCATAATGGTTTGTCTGTTTCCTATGAAGGGTGTTAGAGGAGCCCGCAGCCTAAAATACATCACATATAACAAAGGCTTTTTTGCACTAAACCAGTAAAAACATCTTGAATTAGGTGAGGGTTACGATTACAGCAACAGAGGGAAAGGTCACCTGAGACTGGAGAAAACTTCTCTTGGCACGTCTCCCCATGTTCCTCTCCCCTCAGCCCCTGACAACCACCATTCTACTGTCTATGACTCTGCCTACTCTACATAGCTCATACATGTGGAATCACACTGTAGTTGTCTTTTTGTGGGTGGCTTACTTCAGTTAACATAGTGCCCTCAAGGTTCATTCATGTTGTGGTGTGTGTCATGATTTCCTTCCTCTTTAAGGCTAAATAATATTCCATTGTATGTATATATGACATTTTGTTTATCTAGTCATCTATGGACGGGCAGCTCAGTAGTTTCCACTTTTTGGCTACTGTGAACATTGCTGCTATGAACACGGGTATATAATGATCTCTTTGTGACTCTGCTTTCAACTTTTTTTTTTTTTATATATATACTCAGAAGTGAAATTGCTGGATCTGTTCCCAGAAATTTAGTTCTCCCATAGTTCCCCCATAAAATGTGGTATAATATTGCTACCTA